TAGCCCGAAATTATGAAAGAATAGAGCACAAGGCTAAAGGCATTTCGAATGAAAAAGCAGAAACCAAAATTAATCTGGAATGAGAGAGTGCAGCAAAATTAAGGAGACACGAGGACTAAATCAATCTGAAATAAAGAGTGAAGGGCCCAATTCAATCTGAAATAAGGGAGCGTAAAGGCAAAATAAATTTGAAATAAGAGAGCATGGCCAAAATCACTCTGACAGAAAGCAGCACAAAGCCAAAATAAATTTGAAATAAGAGAGCAGGGCCTATATCACTGACATAAGGGAGCACAGGGCCAAAATAAATTTGAAATAAGAGAGCAGGGCCAAAATCACTGACATAAGGGAGCACAGGGCCAAAATAAATTTGAAATAAGAGAGCAGGGCCAAAATAAATTTGAAATAAGAGAGCAGGGCCTAAATAAATTTTGAAATAAGAGAGCGGGCCTAAATAGATTTGAAATAAAGAGAGCAGGGCCAAAATAAAGTTGAAATAAGAGAGCAGGGCAAAATAGATTTGAAATAAGAGAGCAGGGCCTAAATAAATTTGAAATAAGAGAGCAGGGCTAAATAAATTTGAAATAAGAGAGCAGGGCCTAAATAGATTTGAAATAAAGAGAGCAGGCCAAAATAAAGTTGAAATAAGAGAGCAGGGCCTAAATAGATTTGAAATAAGAGAGCAGGGCCAAAATAAAGTTGAAATAAGAAGAGCAGGGCCTAAATATGTTGAAATAAGAGTAGGGCCTATAAATTTGAAATAAGAGAGCAGGGCCAAAATAAATTTGAAATAAGAGAGCAGGGCCAAAATAAATTTGAAAGAAGAGCAGGGCCTAAATAAATTTGAAATAAGGGAACAGGACCAAAATAAATTTGAAATAGGAAGCAGGGCCAAAATACATTTGAAAGAAGAGAGCAGGGCCTAAATCACTGAGTAAGGGAGCACAGGGCCAAAATATATTTGAAATAAGAGAGCAGGACTAAATGAATTTGAAATAAGACAGCAGGACAAAATAAATTTGAAATAAAAGAGTGCAGGCCAAATCACTTACATAAGGAACACATTGCCAATTAAATTTGAAATAAGAAGCTCTGGGCCAAAATGAAGTATAAATAAGTGAGCGCAAGGCCAAAATCACAGACATAAGGGAGCACAGGGCCAAAATAAAGTTGAAATAAGAGCACAAGGACAACATCACTGATATAAGGGAGCACAAGGCCAAAAATAATTTGAAATTAGAGAGCAGGCCAAAATCACTGACATAAGAGCACAGGGTCAAAATAAATTTGAAATAAGAGAGCAGGGCCAAAATAATTTTGAGATAAGAGAGCGCAAGGCCAAAATCACTGACATAAGGGCGCAAAGGGCCAAAGTAGAGTTGAAATAAGAGAGCAGGGCCAAAATCACTGACATAAAGGGCAAAGTAGAGTTGAAATAAGAGAGCAGAGCCAAAATCACTCTGACGTAAGGGAGCGCGGGGTCAAATCCAATCCAACATAAGCAGGCGCTGGCCCCCCAAAAACTAAAACCAACCCCCTCGTCTCACCTTCACCTCAAACTTCTTGGAGAAGAGGACGTCCTTGATCTTCGTCTCGTCATTTTCCGAGCCAGTCGAGATGGTCAGCATGTCGATCTTGGTCATGTTGGCGGCCATGAGGATGGAGGACAGCGGCGCGCACGTGACCCAGATGCGTCTCCCGCGTTCTTCCTCGTCCTTAGGGGGTGGGGTGGGGGGGGGGGTAGAGGGTATTTGTTAACTTTTTATAAAGGCTGGAGAATGTTTGTTTCTGTCTCTCTTTCTCTCTCTAACCTACAGTGAACAAAACAAAACAGTGAACAAAACAAAACTGAACAAAACAAAACCTACATTAAAGAAAACAAAACTACAGTGATCATAACAAAACCTCCACTAAGGAAACCTACATTACAGAAAACCCTGCAGTGAAGAAAACAAAACAGTGAAGAAAACAAAA